CTATGTTAAAGGGTAACCCTCTAGTTAGCCCCATATTCTTTCTCGAGATAGACCTATCAACACGAAGTAGCCACAATCTTTTCTGGCCTGAAGGGGTGTATTAATATGGTTTCTTTCTACATATCAGCAACAGCTTAATGGCAGTTTAGTTTTTATATGACATCAGGTCTGAGCAGTCAGAATTAGCCTAGTTTTCCTGCCAAAAACGATAAAAGGTACCGAAGCGCGTCGCAATACTGGAAAATTTATTGAGTACTTAATTTTTCTTTGGGTCTTACCATCAGGCATGCTACTTCGTTTCGGAATTACTATGTTCTGTACTGATCACTGAACCGGTAAGGCCAATAAGAATTGAAATGCCGACTACTTAAATCTAAATCCAGGGTCTCACCTACAGCGATCTTATCGTTACCTCTATCGTGTATCTTTGTTCCACCGGCGTCGAGCTTTCGTTAATTGTACACTAAGCGTCCTGACTGTTTGGACTCGGCGAAGACTATTAAATCGCCGGACCCACTTCTTTATTCATCCGAGTTTTCAGACTCATTCAGGAGTCCATCGTTAGAGATAAAAGTGGAAACACTTATTAAATTGATCGTTCTGTCGGTCTTGTACTGCAGTTTTTCCAACTGCGGTACCCAGACATAATGAAGCTTGCGGGCCTTTGTCACTTCAAGTGTTGGGAGTAGTTTCAGGACCCTGCCTATGAGGTCGTGAACCCTTCAGACTTACCCATACATTTTACTATTTGTATCAGTCGTCACACTTCCTCTGCAGAGGCTGCAATTACGGTGAATTGATGCCGCAAATTTCTCTATAGGAGGAGGACAAATTTGAAATGCAAAACCGAGCTGGCGCTTTTGGCTTTTCTGAATATCTTCATTTGCCAGAGCTCCTTGGACACCGGCTGAGATAGTTGTCTTGAGGATGGACCCGAACACGGACTGAATCGTGAAGTGGGCGCGTGGGGGTCCTATGTAGAGCATTCAACCTTACTGCCAGATACGAAACCTAGGCATTTCACACGGTTCGTTAAAACGAGCTTGTATTTCGACATAAGTTTGTTGAAGGTATCGCCGACGCCAAGCCCACAAAATGTCACGTGACTTCGTTCCTCTATCTCCTTCTGGGTTAGCCAATCACAGGTGCCGTATACTGCTATTGGCCAAGCAGTTGATCAAGCGGCCAGTGACTCACTCTCGCATGACTTTTATTTATTCACGCCCACAGCACACTAGCGGACAAACGCGCGCGCAGGGCCTGGGCCAGCCGCGCATCGGGGCTTCGGACTACCACTGAGTTCCTGCACACAATAAACAACTGGGCGCGATAATTGTAGTGTTCGGAGCACACTCACGGCTTAGACTCCTACCCATGTAATAAATGAAGTTTCATTGAACCACCCTAAGTCCCTGGGTCAGCGTCTGTTAGCAACAACTATCATCCAGCTAGGCAAACTGATCTTGTGCGCACAGAATCTTGTATCAGCTCTGCGTTTACTATGATCAAAGGTCGGTTTACTGTATCCCACTATCATCACTTTCGATGCCTATTCATCGATTACCCTCAACAAAAGTAAGGGGACTCGAAATTTGCTTTTCCTCATTGCGATCGTACATTGTTTCCAGGCAACGGCCTGAGAATCCATCGCATCAGCACCCGGAGCCCTCACATCCGCCTCCACTGCCCACGTATATTCACTTACCGTGTGGGTCTATCTGGCCATATACACATCCGTAATGGCGCGAACCACGACAATGATGGAGTGGAACAGACAAGACAAACCGGGACAAGTATATGGCCAAATTAGACAGATCGGATGAACACCCTAGTTTCAATATAGACATACCACGCACACCTGACGGCTCTTTCATCTTCAGCGCCGCCAAATTCCCATCCACCAGAGAGGTCCCCACTATTAGAATCAACACCACATCCACTCATAATCTATCCTGCTGGCAGTGCGATCGCACATACATCGGCTTGATATGTCACTTGCAAAATCCCGCATTGATCGGCGAACCAGTGTCAGGTGCAGAAACATGCATCCACAACATCCAACTCAATTGCCTACACACATTCAGTCGCCAAACGGGCCTACTTGGTCACATGCGCCTATTTGGAACTACACAGCAGACCACTGCAACCTAAGTCACACTGTTCAAAAGAATCCAGACGCACTGAAGAAAAAGCACATGAGGCCCGATAGCTCCGCGACTAGTTTATGCGGAATGGTTATTCTAAGGCCCTCACAAGCCGATCCCTACGTGCTTGCCCTCCGAGGACACAATCAGATCCAACCCGTACGATATGGCACGCGCTGCCACACATCAAGGATGTGTCGGAAGCGACCGGGTGCATTGCTGCGGGACTAGGCGTTGGAAGTTCACACTGTCTCAAGGCTATCATGCGCAGTCGGGTCATGAGAATGAATGACCGATTAAA